GCCTGGGTTCTAAGGCCCTCCCAGCTCTGATATTCTGTGTTCTAAGGTCCTCCCAGCTCTGACACTCTGTGTTCTAAGGCCCTCCCAGCTCTGACATTCTATCTGTCCATGGTTCTAAGTCATTCTAGTTGTTTTCCAGTTCACTCCCATGAGACATTAGGGCACATAGGGAAACCAGTGGCATCTGGGCTCTCATCCCAAGGGAAAACACACCTGGTGCACATTCCCAAGAATGCCCATGCCAGCATCCCACTCCCTTTTCTTACTAGCTGGGGTGACGTGGGCATCACTGAAGAAGTGCAAGCATAGCAGGGGAGGTCAGAAGGGGATTAAGGCTGAAGATGCAGGGCGGTAGTACAAGTGCCTCAGGAGAGCTAGCTCCTCGTCCTCTCCACCATTGCCTTGCTGTGTGACCTTGGAAAGTTAGATGCCCTCTCTGTGCCTCAGTTTCTCCATCTGTAAAACAAAAGATTTGGACCTGATGACCTCTAAGAGTGTCCCGTTCCTGTTCACCCCTGGGTGTCTTACTTTTCTTTTCTTGGAATTCTATCGTGTGTGTGTGTGTGTGTGTGTGTGTGTGTGTGTGCGTGCTGCAGGTCTGTCCGGGGCTGACACTGCCCAAGGTGAAGGGAAGGTGGGCTCCAGCACTGGCCGGCTTCTTCTTCCTCCTGTCGGTGGCTATGACCGGCTGCTTTCTGTGGCAGTACCACCTCCGGAAAGCAGAGCTTGGTGAGTGTGGGAATCTGCCTGTCCATTCTTTTGTCACACCTTAGAGTTCTAGGAGCACCTATTCCCACCTCCCCACCCCTCCACTTGCAGAGAGTGGAGTGGAAACAGTCCTGGATTTGAGTCAGAGGTACTGAGTTCAAATTCTGACTCAGGTATTTGTTACATAAACTTGGGCTAAGTTGCTCTCTGGACCTCAGTTTCCTGATCTGTAAATTGAGGGGTTTGGACCAAAGGATCTCAGAGATTCAGTCCAGATAGAAATCTCTATTATCCCATGTTGCCCAATGCAACATTATTAGCGATTTTTGTACTTTGGGCACATGGCACAAAAGGAACCTTCATTTCACTTTGGGGAGTGGGGAGTGCTGCAGTTGTAGCAGAGACCCTTGGGTCCCAGGAGGCCACTGATGGAAGGCTGCTGATGGGGAAGGGATGGACTGAGGAGGAGCTTGCTGAGAATTCCATGATTAGCTGCTGATGGGGGTGTAGGGAAGAGGGAGCATTCTACCTGGTAGCTTCCTATTTTAACCAATTATTCCTGCTGGGTGTGTACCAAATAGAGTTGTTTCTTCATCCTTAGGTGACTGCATTTGCTGTTAATGTCCCCTGAATTTTAGCACCCTAGGCCAAAGCCCCAGTGGCACCATTCTAGTTATGTTCTGATTATGGCTCTTCAAGGAATCCCCTACTTTCTCTCACCCAATCCACTGCTCCCATTGACTCAGGGAAGCGATAGGTAGGAAGTGACTTTCCCACCCGATGCCCTCTCCCCCAAATCTAAAGCTCATATACATGTGCATTGATAGAGAAGTCACCAGGGAGTTCACTCTGCCAATGAGATCCTGGATCCAGCACCTTTCCTTAAGGGCTATCTAAATGGTATTATCATAATCATTCAGTACCCAATTAACACCAAGGCAGATAATTGGCAATAATAGCTATATCCCTCTGCAACTTACAAAGGGCTATTCTCACAACCCCACTGAGAGGCAGGAAGGTTGTACAAGTATCATTTGTCCCATTTTACAGATGAGAAAACTGAGGTTCAGACTTGGCCAAAATCACTCAAGTAATCAATCAGTCAACTTTTATTTATGTGCTAGGAGCTGGAGATAGTGAAGACAAAGACGAAAGATCAATCCTATTCTTAAGGAACCCAAATGGGGCTCCTGATTCCAATTCCATTGCTCTTGCTAGTAGCCCTAGGGACTTCTTTGTATCTCTAGTGTTCAGCACAGTGCTTGGCACACAGCAAGTGCCTTGATAAATGTTTGTTGACTGACTCCCAGGGAATGACCTCATTCACTGTCTAGGCAGGGAGGTATTTTAGAGAGGCCTGATACTGGGAATTGGGAGGCCTGTATGTTCTTGCCTCTGCTTCTTACTAGCTGTGTGCCTTTGAGCCAGTCACTCTGGGACTCAGTTTTTTCTTCTGTAAAATGGGGATAACAGTACTCACACTAACTACCTTGGAGTGTTGTTAGGAAGAAAATCCTTTGGAAACTGTTTGGTGCCATATTTGTTATTCTTCTCTGTAGGTGCCTCTGTCATGGAAGTGACCTCAGAAACTGTGAGGATGTGTCCCCGTTATCCAGAACCCGTGCCCTTACAGCATCCCCTCCCTGTGTTGAAGGAGGCCCTGGAGAAGGTCAGTGTAAACCAGGGGGAACAATTTATACAGTGACCACAAAAACAGAAAGGACTGAAACATGTTAGAGAAGTGGGGGACTATGGGTACGGGATGAGGCATACATTGGCAGATATGGCCAATCTCTACTACTTCTTTGCTACAAGGGAGGATTCTGTTAGGGTGGAGGGGCTTCCCTTCTGGAAGATGAGGAGGGAGTTCAGTGTGGAGACAGGGAAATAGCGGTCTGGCCAAGAAATTCAGGGGAACGGTATGTGTAATGTGGGGAAAGCTGGAGCCAAGGGTAGAGGGGCCCCACGTGGGAGGGAGTGTCTGAAGATGGAGGACTGTGTGCTGGGCCAAGCTACTGCCTGTGGGAATCCAGCTCCTCCCAGGCTGCCTCTCTGCTCCCCACAAGGTGGACAAGATTCTGCGGCAAACAATGCCCACTGCCCCGGGCCTCACGGCCATGTCCGCTGTGGTCATCTACAATGACACTGTGCTGTGGACGGGGAACTTTGGCTGGAGGAATGGCTCAGACAGGGCCTCAGGGCCCCCCAGTGAATATACCATCTACCGGTGAGTTCAACAGACTTTGGGGCCCTGCACTGATTGTGTGGGAGGGTAGGGGGTAGGAAACGGAGGAAGCTGGCAGGGAGAGAAGGGAATGTTGGCGGCCGGCCTCGAGCCTCAGTCACAAACCTCTGAAACGAGACGGGCTGCAGGCCCCCCTTCCCTACTACAAGAGCATCGAGCATTAAAACTCACCTTAGAGACTCTCTGGTCCAATCTTCTCATTTTACAGATGAGGAAACTGAGGCCTGAATAAAAGACATAACTTAGCATCATAGATCCAGGGCTAGAAGGGCATCTTAGCCACCTTCAGCACTTTATAGGTGAGGAAACTGAGGCCCAGAGAGGTTAAGTAACTTTTCTAAGATCATGTGGTAGAGTCAGGATTTGAACCTGGGTCCTCTGACTCTCAATCCAATGTTCTTCCCACCAGCACCTGAGGTTTAGCTTGAATCATTAATCTTGTCATTTTATCCTGTACCTGGGAAGCATGTGATGTAGTGGAAAGAACACCAGAACTTCAGAGACCTGACAGCAGTTAGGATCTTCAGATCCTGCTCCAGAATCAGAGAACCCTAATTCTCCTGTTTATTTGTCTTATTCCTAAGTACTGCAATAATCTGATAACTTTCAGAGTCACCATCAAGCCATAGCCCCAAAATATTAGGGAGGAAACTGAGATTACAACAGAGTTCGAGAGTAAAGAAAGCTAGAACTGGAAGACACCTTAGAACATAGAATATCAGAACATAGAACGTTGGAGATGAAAGAGACTTTAGAACACACAATGTATGGACTGGAAAGGTCCTTAGAACATAGAACCTTGAAACTGGAAGGGACCCATGACCTAAAATGTCAGAGGTAGAATGGACCTTAGAACCCAGAATGTCACATCTGGGAGGGCCCTTAGAACAGAGGATGTCAGGGCTGGGAGGGCCCTTAGAACACAGGATGTCAGGGCTGGGAGGGCCCTTAGAACACAGGATGTCAGGGCTGGGAGGGCCTTAGAACACAGGATGTCAGGGCTGGGAGGGCCCTTGGAACACAGGATGTCAGGGCTGGGAGGGCCCCTAGAGATCACCTTGGTTACATAATCCGTCCTATACTAGTGACTCTGTATCTTATAAAACAGCCCATTCAGCTGCTGAAGAGCTCACATAGTTAGAAAATTCTTTCTTACATGTAGCTGTAATTTGTTACCCTGTAACATCCACCCACTTCTCTTGGTTCTATCCTCTGGACCAGAGGAACAGTAGTAAATCCCTCAAACCCATGACAGTTCCTCAAATACTTGAACACAGAATTCATTACTTCTCTGCCCTCACTCCCAGTGTCCTCCTTGCCAGATTAAACACCCTTAGTTTTCTCAAGTGGATCCTCCAATGATTTCAAGCCCAGCCCTGGGGTCTGCTAGGCCCTGGGTGGGTAGGAGAGGAGGTGGGGCCATGGGGGATAATGGTGCTGCCCCTTGAACAGGATTGCCAGCATCTCCAAGATTTTCCCCACACTCATGCTGTACCGTCTGTGGGAGGAAGGCATCGTGGCGTCCTTGGATGACCCCCTTGAGCGCTATGCCCAAGGCTTCAGGATCAAAAACCCACTTGGAGCAGGACCACACCCTGTCTGGGGAAGCTTGATGGGTGGGCTGGAGAAGAGGGTCCCACCCCTCAAACCTACGACAGTAACTCTCCGAAGAATGGCTAGTCAACTTTCAGGTGAGAAGCATAAACTCGGGGATGATTGTGGAAACCCAGCAGGGTGATGGAGAGACGGTATTTGAATAAAAATGACGCTAGGCAGCTAGGTGGTTGGAACACTGTACCTGGAGTCACAAAGACCTTAGGTCAGATCCAGCCTCAGACATTTACCGCTGTGTGACCCTGGTCAAGTCACTTACCTTCTGCCTGCCTCAGTTTTCCCAACTGTAAAATGGGGATAATAATAGCACCTACCTCCTAGCATGCTGTGAGGCTCAAATGAGGTAATATTTGTAGAGCACTTAGTAATAGCAGGTGAGTAATAAATGTTTATTTCCTTCTTCCCCTATCTCATAGAGTTATTGTGAGGATCAAATGAAGTGATTAATGGATGAGAAAGTGCTTTGAAAAATACAAAGCTGATAAATACAGGTTGCTGGGGTCATTAATAAGAAGCTGTCATAGATAGAAAGCAGAAATAAAGGGAATCTGATACAGCAGATTCAGTCCTGAGAACCCGTACCTGTCTTTTTGCTCATGCTACTCTTTGTACCTAACGTACACTCTTCACTATTTCTCCCCCTCCTCCTAATCTCTCTCTTTTGAAATCCTATTTATCTTTATTTAAGGCTCCACTCAATACCATCTTCTCCATGAAACACAGTGCAGTGGAGAGAGAGTTCTAGGTTTGGACCTGGGTTCGAATTTTGCGTTTGCCCTACTCTCTATGTGACCCTTGGCAAGTCACCAGTCTCTTTGGATCTCAGTTTTTTCATCTGTAAGATGACCTCTGAGGTCTCTTGTAGCTCAAGAGTGAGGCTCTGAATTCATGATAGCTTTCTACATCTGTGTGTAGGGGCAGCTAGGTGGTACAGTGGATGGAGCGCCAGGCCTGGAGTCAGGAAGACCTGAGTTCAAATCTGGCCTCAGACACTTCTAGCTGTGGGACCCTGGGCAAGTCATTTAACCCTGTTTGCCTCAGTTTCCTCATATGTAAAATGAACTAGAAGGAAATGTCAAACTACTCCAGTATCTTTGTTGAGAAAACCCCAAATGGAGTCACAAAGAATCAGACACGACTGAAATGACTCAACAGCACATCTGTTTATGGACCGTGTTCTATTTCCCACCTCTTTATATATATTCTTGCTGATGAGTTCCCTGGCACTCCTTTTTTGGGTTTTTTTTTTTTTTTTTTTTTTTTTTTTCGGGTTTAAGTGACTTGCCCAGGGTCACACAGCTAGTAAATGTTAGGTGTCTGAGGCTGGATTTGAACTCAGGTCCTCCTGACTCCAAGGTCAGAGCTCTATTCACTGTGCCACCTATCTGCCCCGCCCCCGCCCCGCACCCAGCACCCCTAAAAGGGAATGGGACTGGGGACTAGTTTTCCTAACTCTTAGCCCTTTGCTACTCCCACTACAAGAGCTTAACCTTCCCTACTCCAGCCACGCCCTGCTGGGTCAGGTGCTCTCTCTTCCCTCCGTTCTTTGCAGGGCTACCCAGGAGACTCCGCTCAACCACCCTGCTGTGGCGGGGAAGCACGGAGGATGCCCTGGCTCTCCTGAAGGATGACGTCCTGGTGGCTGACCCTGGAACCAGGTTGGGGAAGCCCTTCGGGTTCCTGCCCTGGGAGAAGGCTGTTCCCAGCAGGGCCAAGGAGCCTGCTGGGGCCCTTCTCAGGACCCTGGAGAAATTCTGTTTGAGAAAAGCATTGAATGTTAGAATGAGGAGAGCTCTTAGAACACAGAATGTAAGAGCTGGGAGGGCCCTTAGAACACAGGATGTCATGGGTAGGATGGACCTTTGAACACAGGATGTCAGAACTGGGAGGGCCTTTAGGACACAGGATATCAGAACTGGGAGAGACTCTAGAATATAGAATGTCAGCGGTGGGAGGGCCCTTAGAACAGAGAATGTCAGAGCTGGGAGATACTCTAGAACACAGAATGTCAGAGATGGGAGGGACCTTAGAACATAAAATGTCAGGGGTGGGAAGTCCCTTAGAACATAGAATGTCAGATTTGGGGGACACTCTAGAACAGAGAATACCAGAGCTGGGAGATACTCTAGAATATAGAACGTCAGTACTGGGAGTGGCCTTAGAA